TCCAGTTTCATTGCCTGTGTGTCTGGACAAAGTCAAAGTGAATGGAAAAAGTATACTACTGTGGAGGAGAAAAACTAGGATAATTCCTGACATAAATAGAGCACAATCCTTGTGTGATATGCTCTGTAGGGTGTCTCCTGATACTTGACTGGAGCACTCAAGAATCATGGATCTGGTCTACGGCAGAAGGTTGAAGTAAGATACACAACTCCAGCTACATACATTCCGTAGCTGGAGTTGACATATCTTACATCACGTGTTCATGCTGTCCACACAACGAGAGGCTGACAGGAGCAAATGCTCCCATTGTTTTCCTTTACTCTTTGTGAGGAGCAAAAATACCGGTACTGATGGGGGTTCCTTCTGAGTTTGATGTAGCAAAAAGATCGACAGGGTCAATATCGATCTTCCACATATTGTAAATGTGCCCATGGAGTAGTGGTTTTAGGAATAGTGGTTCATTCTTTAAACACACCATATATGAACTGCAACAAGAACTTCAGGATGTCTGAACTCTCAGAAGGACATGAATAGGAAAACAGGGACAATTAGGCTATGTCTAGACTACATGGCTCCGTCAACAGAGCCATGTAAACTAGTTTATTCGGCATAGTCAAAGAAGCGGGGATTTAAATAATCCCCGCTTCATTAAAATAAAAATGGCCGCCGCGCTGTGCTGACGATCAGTCCAGACGCGGCGCAGTCGATAAGGGAAGCCTTTGTCAACCACTCTGGTATGCCTCATGAAACGAGCTTTACCGGAGCAGTCGACAAAGGCTTCCCTTATCGACTGCGCCGCGTCTGGACTGATCGTCAGCACAGCGCGGCGGCCATTTTTATTTTAATGAAGCGGGGATTATTTAAATCCCCGCTTCTTTGACTATGCCGAATAAACTATTTTACATGGCTCCATCAACGGAGCCATGTAGTCTAGACGTAGCCTGAGTGAATCCCAAAACCACATAGAAAATCTTGGGAGAGAATAAAGGAGAGGGGATAACAGTCTTCAGCTGCTATATATCCAGACAGGCACTTTAAAATGCAGTTTCCTATATAATGGATGTTTGGCAATCAAGTGGCATCCACTGTGGAGGAATCTGAGTTATCTGTTGTCATCGGTACTGTGTACTGTCATTTTAACAAAAGGCTTCCACAAATATTTTTCCTTTAATCTGTGATAAAGTATTTGTAACTGGATAGTGTTTGCTGTCTGCTTGTGAAGAGATGTGGTGAGGAATTAATCTACATATTCACATGTTTTTGCACTTTAACAGAAATCTTCTGTGATAAACAAGCAGCTCTAAGTTTAAAAAAAACCTTCTTAGAAGTGAACATCACTGAAAAGCATTGAACTTTGTTTCTTGTACACATATTGATGCTATATTATTCAACTTTTGAAGTTTCTGAGAATTGACCTTATACCACTGGTTCTAAGAAATAATTTTGAAAATAGCTGCTTTCTGGTGCAATCTTATATGTTCCAGAGAAGAAAGCTTCATCTGAATGAAGTAGTAGGATCCCTAGATATGTCTTTTCTGCCGGGAATGATTTAACACTGTCCTGAGAGAGAGCAAACTCTGTTGATGGTTGGGAAATCATCAAAACTATATTATAATTATATTATATTTTGATTGGTGACATTTTAACAAAGGGCTTATGTCCTGACAACTTCTAGCATTTCACTAGTTTCACTAGTTCCACTTGTACCAAGTCTAGGGGCATGGATCAACATTCATGTCACACTCCCTGTCAGTACTCAGTTCAGGCTAATGATCCAACCGACGGACCAAATTTGGTGATCAATCCTGGTCACATGCCAGCTGCAGCATGTTGAGCATATACCAGGAAGATGACAGGGTTTTTCTAGTTCCGTGGTGTCCAACACTCTAGTCACTAGCCACATGTGGCTATTTGGCTAGTTGAGTGTGGCTAATTCACTATTGGGTGGACACAATGTTTCTCGTGACTAAATTGTTGTTTTGTTGCTTTATTTCACCCATTTTGAGATTTGTATCTGTATGTTCCAGAACCCTTTTTTATTATTATTTTAATGAAAAAAGTCAAGCTAGAAGAGAACATTCTCCCTGTTTAATAACAACTCTCTGGGAAACTGATAAAAAAAGTCTCTTTTCTTTGTATACTTTATCAGAGTCCATGAACACTTAAAGGGATTTTTTCCTTCTTGTGTTTGGTGACAGCAGAAAATCCCTGTAACTGGAAACACAGACACTCTCTTTCTCTCTCTTCAAGGTCAGACTACTGATGAGGATTTGATTAACTTAACCCATAAGCCTATGTGATTCCAGAAGAAAATGTTTGAAACAACAATAAAATCATTGTCATCAGATGCTTTGACTTGCTATTTTTGAATAATTCCATTTTGGCCCTGGAAGATGTAATCTATCTTTCTTTCATTTGTTGCAGATTGAAATACCTAAGACTTGGTATTAATGCATGCTACTGTTTCTCTGGCCTATGTGCTTGTACTAACAAGTACCTATGCTTACATATGGTTGTTTTCATTTGTTTGTTTGTTTTTTTAATAGCACGTATCTTAGACCTAACAATTACATTAAGAATGACAGAGATTACTTGACATGAATACTCTATATATTTATTATGGATTACTAATGCTGTAAAGTTTATTTTTCTGGAAAATAATTTACCTACATCTGCATTGCAAACAAAAACTAAAAAAGAGGGTAGCACAAACTTAGGAAATAACTATACTCAAGGAAATCTCTTTATCCATGCAACCCACTCTCCTGTTGAGCTAAATTCAAAATATTCACAAGTGCAATGTCTATTCAAAAGTCATTGTATCCAATTTATAACAGGCATAATTGAGAGGTATTTTGTTGACTTCAGTGGAATGGCTCTTCCTATGCCAGTGTTAAAATTGTCCCCTGGTTTACTTTACCATTTTTGAAATCTACTGGTGCATAGCATAGAAAGAACCAAGGGTCAGAGTCTTAGAATTGATCCTTCTGTACCTACTGCAGCTTAGTGGTAGAGTCGAGTATGAGGGTATTTTATAAGACCATGTTCATTTCCACTGAGTTGGGGGCCACTTAGCAATGATGCACAACATAGAGCAACCTCTGCACTGTTTTAAGTTGCGGGAGCTGTATATGGATGTATCAGACTCCTCTAGCAGCCAGAAATCACCAGAACACAGGGGCTTTGATCGTTTTCCTTTTATCTTGGCCAAGCCTTCTCCACTGGGGTCAAGGAAAGTATAGCCTAATATCTTATAGGCAAACCCCACTACACCCTTGTGTTCTCTCATGCCGGAGGAATCCCCAGGTAGCTGTAGCTGCCAGCTTTACAGGTGGTTTATGTCAGTAGGCAGGTGGGAAATGGCCACAAGAGGTACCAGGATCTGGCCCTAAGGGTCTCTTTAGTTTTCAAATTCATTTGGAAAAAGAAATGTTATAAACCTGTGAAATGCCTGAAGTGACAGCTCTGATCAAATAGTGATTTTTGCAGAATTACCAGTTGGCTCTTATTGCCTAAAGGATTTCCACATGAACTGAAAACATTTGCTAAATGACATAATCAGCTAATGATTGCTTAATTTTTGAATACATAGCTCAGTGCAGAGAGGGTAACAGCTGGTGTTTGTCAAATTAGGTTTTCTTCTTTGGATTTTTACTACTAATTTTCTTGTTTATTTAACATACTTAGCAGTGATTGAGCTCGAAAGGTCTTCCCTTCAGCTTATTATACTTCCAAGGTAAATGTTACATTCTCTTCAGGCCCAATGGAACTTCCATTTAAATCAGTGGCTCCATGATTAGATTGCTTTTAGTGACAGAGGTTTCTGTGTATATGTAACATAGCATCTGTGTATATATACACTTGGCATGTGTATATGTAACTTGATGGTAGTTTCATGACTAATTACAGGAGACTGGTCCTATTGATATAGGTAATACTAAACATATACCAATGATTCAGATTGCAAAATCGAACACTCAAAAGTCAGGAAAAATGAACTGTTAGGATTCTGTTCCTAGTGTTGATGGTAATGTGATCCTAGTAGTTAAAGATGTTGCTGCCAACCACAAAGAATTAACACATTCATAAAAAAAGTGACACAGCAAAGTGGATGAGACTTGCAAATTTAGATACCTGAGCTCTATTCAGAGCCATACCAGAAGTTACCTCTTGGTTACTTTATTTTAAAATTTGTAAAACGTGTCTGCCTTTTATAAGATAGGGGCATGAGACCTTGCTCAGTTAAAAGGGCAGTAATGTACATAGACTTAAGACCTTTCGGTGAGACTACAATTCTTGGTTTCTTCATGGTTCAGTGCCTTTTCCTCTAGGCCAAAAATGGGGCAAGTGCCAGAAGCTGTTTTTAAAGTATTCCCTCCCATCCCCCAAATCCAAAGCTCTTCACTTGATTGTGATAACTATAAAAAAGTTACAATATACATGTTGCTTTCAAATCATGCACTTGGTTAATATATTCTTGCTGTTTCTTTATGTTAGGATCTATATTTGAAAAAATAACTCCTTGTTTTTAAAATGTACTATACACGGATATTTATAACATATAAAGAAGTCTATGGCATAAAAGGTCCTGAGTTAAAGGATGGATGCATGGCCTTGTGGATAAGGCACTCCAATGGGACTTGGGAAATCTGGGTTTAATTACTGGCTTAACCAGAGACATCCTGTTTGGCCTTGAGTGAGTCAGTATGTGAAAAATCTTTTATATTGTATAAAATGACACCTGCCTCTCCAGTATATTAACAAAGAATTCTGATGAATCTTGAGTCCCATTAAATTAAGTTGGATGGCTGGATGAGTAACCAGTAAAGGACTCAACTACTAATAATTGCAATAACAAAAAAAGACATCTTGGTGCCTTCTTATATTGTAATGTAGGAAGTTTGAAAAGCACTGTTATTTATAGTGTATGTATCTTAACTTGCCAACAAATATTTGTTTCAAATGTAAAATAAAATAAACTTTACTCAAATTTTCCACAGGTGGTTGCCAAAATAGCCTTAAACAAGTGGGCAGTAATCAGGCAATTGCATTAGCCGCTGCAGCTGCAGCAGCCGCTATGGTGTCTGTAGATTCAAAAGCACCTCAGGGACCATCAACTACAAGTGTCCAACCTTGCCATGTGCTCACTCTGTCACCTGTCAAAATACCAGTTTTGACTTCACCTTTTCCAGGTAAGAGGTTTGTGGTACCACATAACTGCTTTTATTCAATCTGAATCATAGAGACTGTGCCTTGTGTGGGGTTGTTTTGTTACAAATGCTTTTTGTTAAATGATTGTTGAATGGGAATTGAATTTGACAGCTTGTGATATCTGAGTTTGTATATTTTAATGCCAAGGAAAACAATTATTATTATTTGTTGTATTCAACTGAGGTGTCATTGTTAAATGATCCATGCATTTATAAAGCCACAACTTTTCTTCAGCTTGATTCAAATGCACACAAGAGAAAATTTAGAACAGAAGGTGAAACTCAAACCTTAACTCCTTCCTTGTAATTATAATAATCTTACTCACTACAAAAATATGGAGACAAAAATCTCAATTAAATTTTATCCCACAGTATCCTATTTACTTCAATGAGAAAGTACTGTACATCTGTGCTGGTTAGGGTGGCCCTATATATTGAATTATCATCCACTATTAGTAGGCTTCTGCTAGACTTACAGTAAAGATTAAGAATACAGTACTGTTAGTTTTTGGTGATTTCATCAGTTATACTCTGCGGCTCAAATGCCTATGGATGCCACCTGGCAGATGCCATTGGTGTACATCAAGGTACAGAGGTCTTCTAGTTAAATGTCCTATGAAGTATTTCATGAAATCCTGTGTCATACTGGTCATTAAAATCCTTGTGAGTGTATGTATGGAGAATATGTATATATGATAAAAAATTATATTCTCTATGTCTGTCATTAAAAACAGCTCACTCAAAGGTACCAAAAACTTTCAGATATGGAGTGGAAAACATTTATCTTTGGATGGGGGTACTATGTATTGTACATCATACAATTATGAGTGGCATTAGGAGATAGCAAGCAGGATAACTACTTGGGGCCCATGCCACAAAGAGTCTTGTGAAGGGTAAATAAAATGATTGGGTTTGGGCCTGGCCTTCAGCTCCTTAATGACTGCTCTGAACCCCAGTGAGTCTAATGCCGGCCCTGCATACAATATGAGTCTATTTGAATTTTAATGTTAGTGAAGAGCTGGTGGAGGCTTGAAAAGGAAACTAATGGGAAGAGATAAACATTGATTATGTCGGGGGAAGAGGGACATTACCATGAAATATCAAAGTTCTAGTTCTGTTCTAGTAAACTTAGGGATGCAAATAAAACTTGAATCAATTGCCACACAGTAAACAGCAAGTTTAAGTTCAAGAAGTATCATATACTCACAGAATGTTGCCATGGTTATATATTTGTCCTTATAAGTGTGATAATATTGCTATTTTAAAAGGAAAAAAAAACTTTATTTGGCATGGTACCTTCTAATGTTCTTAATATGTTGTCAGACAAAGGGCCCTATTCTGCAATCCTAACTTACCTTGAGTGTGGTAGCAGGTATGTGTGTAGTCACAGTGATTTCAAATAATTAGAATGATAGGTGTGAGGAATTGCAGAACACAGCCATAAAGAACTATATATATTTGGAATGTTAGGTACCAATCGAAGGGCTAAATTTGGTATTTGGATGCACTTTTCAGCTTCTTCTAGATACCTAATTTTTTTTTAAGTGAGGGGATATTTGTTAGCACAGAGAAGTATAGCCAGATCAGAAACTTACAAAAAGTGTGCAATTATGCACGGGGTGCAAATACAATCTTAAGAGGACCAATTTGTGTCCAGCAATCTCTGGAAATACAAATAATAAAAATGAGGGCCTGTAAAATCAAGCTGGAAGAGCATGCCCACCAGTACAGTTGGGAGATTCCCAAGGCTATGTCTATATTGGCAAGATTTTGCACAAATACTCTTTAAAGCAAGAGTTTTTGTGTTAGAGTATTTGAGTAAGAGAGCGTCTACACTGACATGTGCCTTTGCACAAAAGATGTGCTTTTGCTCAAGAGCATCCATGCCAGTGTAGACTCTCTCTTGAGCAAGAAAGCTCCGATGGCCATTTTAAACATCGGGCTTTCTTGAGCAAGAAATTGATGTTGCCTGTCTATACTGGCCTCTTGTGCAAGAACAGTTGCACAAGAGGGCTTATCTCTGAGTGGGAGTGTCAGAGTATTTGCTCAAGAGCACTGATTTTATACATTAGAACATCAGTGTTCTTGCGCAAGTACTCACGGCCAGTGTAAACAGGTGGCAAGACTGCGCAAAATCTTGCATATGTAGACGTAACCCAAGTGTTTACTTTAGCAGAAGTAGTTCTTATCCAAGATTTAAAAGGCAAGATTTCATTTGGACAAATTGACCCATAGGAATCAAAATGTGAGGTTCTTTCCGAGCATGTAGAGGTGCTAGCGTACTGAAATGAAAACACAAAACTGAACTCATCCTTTCTGTAAGACCATTCAAGTCAGAGGAGTTATACCAGAGATTAATTTGCCTCCAGAAGAACCCATTTTGGCTCCCAGGTAAAAGCTCTGAGAAGAGTATAAATACAGAAGAGTCATACTTGTACTGGAAAAAAAAAGTACATCGTGCCAGTTGTATCCTTTTAGACAAAAGACATCTTGAATTGAAATACTGAAGTATTCTAAGAAGCAAAAGTTGCCCTAAGAAATGTACTTTTGATTTACAGTTGTACTAATATGCTCTGCATGAATTGCCTTAGATGTGATAGAATAGTATCAAACCAAGGAGCTATCACATTTAGATAACTGGCTCAGCTTTGTAACGATAAACATGTCAGACTAGGACAATTGTTGCTTTCCTAACCAATGCAAGGCTGATAGGATATCAAATATCAAGCTTTGAGTGTCTGAGCAATAATCCCATTATCAATCTTTCACAGTAAATTACTTTTTATGGGTATTTTCTCCTGTGGAGTATATAGTAGCTTCTTGAGAAGAGTAGTTTCAAAGCATGTGTCTGAACATGCTAAACAGATTTAGGATTTCACCTATACGTTAATCAGACAGCCCAGAAATTTGAAGCTATTTACTTTGCAAAGACTATCAATATGCTCATGTAAAATGCACTAAAAAGGGATTTAATAAAATATGCTAATAATGAGATAGGGATGAAGATGTCTATTTTAGATGTTCTTACTAAGTATAAGACCAACAAAAAGCCCCTGAAGGTCAATGGAAGGACTCCTCTTGACATTGGGGGACTTTGGCTCAAAATCTAAGATTTTTGTTCTATTATATTTATGCATTTCCCCATAGATTTAATAAGGGATACATATTTTCATTATGTGACTGAGTTCACAGAAATACAACTAAAATTATAGCATGTATAATGAAAATTATAGAAAGATTCCCATGAACACGATTCAAGAAACACCTGTTTGACAGTCTAACTTACCATGCAAATATTAATGGAGTGAGCTGAATTTGCTTCATATTACATCAGTTACATCCTTTGCAGATGCTGCACCTAGAACACATAAGTCTTGTAAAATGACTACTTGTGATCTCTTCTGTTGAATACACAGTGGATGAGATATTGAAGTTAAATTAAAGTTCCTACCCTTGCAGGGAAAAAAATGGTCAATTGGTCAAAAGTGCCCCTTTGCTGTCAAGAACAAAATTACATTTCTATTTCTCCACAGAAGTTAATGACTGGAAAAGCATCAAGGAAAAATAATCTAATATATAGATAATCCCCTGTGTAGGAAATACTTTACAACTCTGTCTGCTTTTCAGTTAGAAATATCAGTGCATTGACATTTATTAAAGATGACTTATTGTTCTCAAACAAAAATAAATCTTTAAAAGAACATAATTTGTGTACCCTGGGGCAATTGCATTTTCCTTGTCTCATGTACGATTTATAAAGTAACTTGGTAATTAATGATCTTTCATTCTTTCCTTGTATAAAGTTTATGTAAGGCAATGTCAAAATAATTTGCAAGAAAAGTTAGCAAATAGCAGAACATGTTATATCCATCTTAAAGCTATCAGCCTTAACATTTTGTAAAATCAAATCTCTATATAATCAGTTATACTGGACAGCACTTTTATAGCACTATTGATGTTGTACTACCCATAGTGGCTGTGCGTCTACACTGCTCTCTTATCTTGAAACAAGCTATGCAAATTGTGCACTTAAGAACTGGAATAGCTATTTTGGAATACCAGAAGTATTCTGAAATAGCGCCACTATCTAGACGCACCCCTTGAGAGCTGATTTAGCCCTGGCTGGCCTAATCAGCCAATAGTGCTACAAAAGCTGGGAGATTTAGGCTGTGTATAAGGAAGCTAACTTGTGACAGAACATGTGGTGGCATGTATAAAGCTAGGAGGCTGCCTGTTACTTTAAAAATATTCTCCCTGGAGACCACCCAGGGTTACACTAGTATGGGTTTATTTCCACTAAGTAGAACTAAAGAGGAGAAAGCAGCCACCAAAGGTTTAAGCTAAAGAAGATAGAACTCTCTTTCTTACACACACACACACACACACACACACAAAGACAAGCAAGCAAGCACACACCTCTCCATTCCTTCCCCCATTCACACCCATTCATTCCTGCCCTCATGCAATCACACACTTACACAGACATATAGGTTGCAGAAAGAGCCAAGGCATGTGGATCCTGGAGGGTCTGTCTGCTCATCATGGCTGGGGAAGCTGGTCAGGAGGAAAGACACTGGAGGGGAGTTTCTCAGGATCAGTGGAAGGAAAAAAAGAGCGTCTTACATGTGTTCCTTCTCTTTATATATTGTCTGAATAGCTCCTGTGACTCATTCACCTTGTCATCAGGGAGCATGCCCAGACTTCCCTTTATCCAGCAGAGAGCATGCCCAGACTTCGATGACTCATTGCCATGTGGTCCATTGTTCCAAGCCTTCTTCAAACACACACTCACACTCTCTCTCCATTCACTAAGGGAAGAATGCAGCTTAGGGAAAGTTACAAGCAAGGTGGATGCATGTTACAAAGATTACAAAGTTGCAGTTTACAGTAAATTTGAGAGTTACACAGATTACAAAGATTGACAAGGATCACAGTAAGTTGCAGTTTAAAACCTTAGACCTTACAGTTTGGGTGTAGCTTTA